CTTTTTGCTCACTTTGTTGCTGCTGAGCGACTCCGTTGCCGGACTGAACATCTTCAGCCGCACCTACCACCATCCCAAATCTGGCCGGCTGGAAATTGATAAAGTGACAAAGAAACTATAGGACTGAGATGCAGAACGACGTGGACACATAACTTGCACGAAAATGAGAAAAAAAAGAAAATTAAAACAAATGAAAAGGTATTTGGTTATATTCTACATGTAGAAAGTCATTAAGATGGGAAGATCGCTAAGAATAAATCAAATAGAAACAAAATATCTGAAAAAGGCAGTAAGACTACAATAGAAAAACAAAAAACTACTAAGGTAACCATCGATTTAGAGCACATGCAGAACTAGTGACCTTATTCCCAACTTTTCGTGGAATATCGCGTCTCGAGAGAGCAAAAACTTGCGGCTGAAATGACGTCACTACCGCCGAATTATTTCGTCTGCGCTGCAGTCAACGATGGGATATTGGCTGTGGAGCAGTTCTGCCGCTAGAAATTTTCAAATATTTTTTTTTCTGCTCATCATCAAAATTCATCCCAAGCCAATTTTTCTATCTTTGCATAACAAGTACGTAATGAAAACCGAGTTTGTTTTCATTTTCATACTTTTTCAACACTTTAAATATTTTTTTCAAGCTTTTCCACGTTTTTCAGCGAAAACTGTACGCATCTAAAGGCATCAAATTAATTTGCCATGTAGCGTCTATCATTTGTGCGCATTATTTTGGCTTGATTATAAATCCTATAAAAGTAGACTCATCAAAGATTGATTTTTGATCTGATCAACTTGTGCCCCAATTCTCAAGATTTCATAGCGTTAAACACCACGAAACGAGACGGTACGTTGACCTCGACAATCTTGTTCTTTTTGCAGGATATAACATTATCGTGGAGCGAGAGTCTTAGACTCTGATTCCTTATCATTTAGCTAACTACGTCCTAGTTATTCTGAAACCTTCTGGCGCTAATGGAATAATGTTGGTCTTTAACAGAAATATAAACAAAGAGCACATTCTCATTTACCATCATCTGC